AAACAAACGTAGAAGCTGTTATTTGCATAAGATATGGTGGTTGCTACTTCTTGATCACCAGGTCCAATCAGCATATCATCAATGTGATAGACCAGTAGTCAAGGTCCCTGTGAACTAAATTATGAGACAGGGCTGGAGAGCTGAAGTAGGATAGTGAAAATGTATTGTTAGCCCTGCCAGCTGAAAACAAACTGCTTCTGGTGGTCTTTTATTAAAAGAGAGAGAAAAAAAAAGTCCACCAGCTCAGTAACTGCATAGCAGGTGCCAGATTGTATTTTTTTATTTCTGTAAAAATATAGATAACATATTTGCTAGTTCAACATATTTCACGTGTACAATTCAGTGAGACCGATTACATCAATCATGTGCAACCATCACCAACAGGGGATGTATTAATTTGTTCAAGCAACAAAAGTACATCTGGGAAATCAGCTGCAATTTTAGTCATCACCTGATTAAGTTTACAAGAATTCACTGTAGTTCTCCAATACCCAGCCAGATTCTGCCAGTTGCTGCGCGTGTCTATTCCAATTATGCATTCAGGAACTGGATTATATAACCACAGAGTGGGCTCGAGGACCCACTAGACCCACTGTGAGATGGATCTGAGCTAAAACGTCACTGATCACCTGACTTCCATATACCCCTACTCTGACTGGTGAGCCACAGTGACATTTTGGGTCTCCAGGAGTTATTGTCCATTTAGAGCCAATGTCCAGTAATCTCTGAAAAATCTGATTATTTTTCTTCCCCCAGTGCAGTCACCCTGGTATATGGCCATAGGTCCTTTTTGGGAAGACTAAGAGAAAGAAGTATACATTTTTGACAGTGTGTAGTGGGTACTTTCTTCAAGGGATCCCAGCACCCCTTCCTTCATTCAAGGAGTTCTGGGTCTGTAAATTGGCTCGAGTCTTGGGATTGGTTGAGGGATTCTGACTGTTTTGGTAATTCAAGTCAGACTTTGTTCACTATACCTAAATAGCTTCTGCTTATACAGATGAAGTAAAAATTTATTAGGCTTCCCATTTATTTCTTTTCTAGGGATGCCATGATTATCTAGCCAGTGCCATAGGTCTCTGTGAGTCAGAGTATTCTGATTACTGCTTTGGCTACATGCCCATTACAGTAACTGTACCCACCTCGCCTTTGTTGATTAAGTGCTGTCAGTTAGTTCCTGCCACCCCAGGCCCCCATTTTCCCCACTGCATCTGGGTAGCCCAGTTTGATGATCGTTCCCACTGTAATGTCTGACCTACAGAGAAGAATGCAAACAGAGCTCTTCAAGGATGCTGAGGCTCCCCTCATAAATTTATTTCTCACAGTTGTGGTGAAAGGTGTGTCCTATGGACCTTCCTGGGATGGATGAGCAGGTTTTACATGATAAATCCACTCTATCTTTCCAACTTACTTAAGCCTTTGGCTAACTTGCTAGTTTCCTTTACAGTATACAAAGGCAGTTCTCGCATTTCATCTTAATTTAGTGTAGGCCATCTTTAGGTACTCATTTTAGCCAACCAACCAAACTATTAGAGCCCTTCCGAACCCCTTGAGTTATAACACTAAATATAGACTCTCTGCTTGTTTTTGTTGTTAGGTATTGTCCAGTTGGTTCCGACACATAGCAACCCTATGTACAACGGAATGAAACACTGCCGGGTCCTGCACCATCCTTACAATTGTTGCTATGCTTGAGCCCATTGTTGCAGCCACTTTGTCAGTCCATCACGTTGAGGGTCTTCCTCTTTTTTGCTGACCCTCTACTTTACCAAGCATGATGTCCTTCAGGGACTGGTCCCTCCTGATAACATGTCCAAAGTATGTGAGATGAACTCTCGGTATCCTCACTTCTAAGGAGCATTCTGGCTGTACTTCTTCCAAGACATATTTGTTTATTCTTCTGGCAGGCCATGGTATACTCAGTATTCTTTGCCAACGCCATAATTCAAAGGCATCAATTCTTCAGTCTTCCTTGTTCATTGTCCAGCTGTTGCATGCATATGAGGCAATTGAAAATATCATGGCTTGGGTCAGGTGCACCTTAATCCTTAAAGTGACATCTTTGCTTTTTAACACTTTAAAGAGGTCTTTTGCAGAAGATTTGCCCAATGCAATATGTCATTTGATTTCTTGACTGCTGCTTCCATGGATGTTGATTGTGGATCCAAGTAAAATGGAATCCTTGACAACTTCGATATTTTCTGCATTTATCATGATGTTGCTTATTGGTCCAATTCTGGGGATTTTTGTTTTCTTTATGTTGAGGTGTAATCCATAGTAAGGCTGTAGTCTTTGATCTTCATCAGTAAGTGCTTCAAGTCCTCATCACTTTGAGCAAGCAAGGTTTTGTCATCTGTACATTGTGGGTTGTTAATGAATCTTCCTTCAATCCTGATGCCCTGTTCTTCTTCATATAGTCCAGCTTCTTGGATTATTTGCTAAGCATGCAGATTGAATAAGTATGGTGAAAGAATACAACCCTGATACACACGTTTCCTGATTTAAAACCACGCAGTATCCCCTTGTTCTGTTTGAAAGACTGCTTCTTGGTCTATATACAGGTTCCTCATGAGCATAGTTAAGTGTTCTGGAATTCCCATTCTTTATAATGTTCTCCACAATTTGTTGTGATCCACACAGACTAATGCCTTTGCATAGTCAATAAAACACAGGTAAACATCTTTCTGGTATTCTCTGCTTTCAGTCAAGATCCATCTGACATCAGTTGTTCCATGTCCTCTTGTGGATCTGGCTTGAATTTCTGGCATTTCCCTGTGGATGTACTGCTGCAACCGTTTTTTAATTGTCTTCAGCAAAATTTTACTTTCATGTGATATTAATAATATTGTTCAATAATTTCTGTGTTATATTGGGTCACTTTCTTTGGAATGGGCACAAATAGGGATCTCTTCCAGTTGGTTGGCCAGGTAGCTATCTTCCAAATTTCTTGGCTTATAGATGAGTGAGCACTTCCAGTGTTGCATTGTTTGTTGAAATATCTCAGTTGGTATTCTGTCAATTCCTGGAGCCTTGTTTTTTGCCAGTGCCTTTAGTGCAGCTTGGATTTCTTCCTTCATTACCATCAGTTCTTGATCATATACTACCTCCTGAAATGGTTGAATGTTGACCAGTTCTTTTTAATACAGTGACTCTGTGTATTCCTTCCATCTTATTTTTATGCTTCCTGTGTCGTTCAATATTCTGCCCATAGAATCCTTCAGTAATATAACTCAAGCCTTGAATTTTTTCTCCAGTTTTTTCAGCTTGAGAAATACCAAGTATGTTCTTCCCTTTTGGTTTTCTAACTCCAGGTCTTTGCACATTTCATTGTAATACTTTACTTTGTCTACTCGAGCTGCCCTTTGAAATCTTTTGTTCAGCTCTTTTACTTCATCATTTTTTCCTTTTGCTTTAGCTACTCATGGCCAAAGCTGTCATCTGCAGGCAGTCAGGAAGGGAAGATCATGAGCAGGATGGAACTCCATGGGTATGAGCTGAAGCTGTGGTCAACCGATTAGGGGCTTTAATTACATCTGCAAAATACCTTCACAGCAACACCTAGATTAGTAAGGACTATAGTCCAGTGAAATTGACACATAAATAAAGCCATAACATTTCTCTTTTTAATAGCTATATAATATTCCATATTATTATATAGCAACCATTCCTTCTTTACTGGACATTCGTGTTTCCAGATCCCACTAAAATATTGCTGTAATAACTATGATGTAAATAATCTCATTACATATTTATTTCTATAGCATAGATACCCTAAAGTGGAATGTCTAAATGTGAGGTTATGAACAGATTTAATTTTAATATAGACTTAGATTAAATTCCAGGAAAGTTGTAGAATCTACATTCCTACACACACCCTCACCCTCACTGGGCAGTATCTATTTGTTTTAGTTTGCTATTTCTCAACTAGTGAGGTTATACATTTATTTTCATATGCTTCTTGGTTATTTGTATTTCTTTTGTTAATTGCCTGTTCATATCCTTTAAGACTGTACTGCTTTTTGAGTAGTCTTAGCTATTTCCCACAGGTTTTAATATGAAATGTTCTTTTTATTCATTTTTAGATAATTTGTAATTTTGGTTACAATTTCCTCTTGATTCAGAGTATTACTTTCAGTGTTTCAGATGAGAATTTTTATACAGTGAAACCTGTGAGAGCCAGAACTTGATAGAACTGCCTTATTTTTCCAGGTCTCACAAGTTTTCTACCTTTGACAGGGTGCAGTCTTACCACTTTTCTATCACTCATTTTAGTGGAAAATACTTGTGTTTTCCTTCTCTGACAGGTTTCCATCTTACACGGTTTCTGGCTTTTACAGGTTTTTTAAGTAAGCTGTCCTTTCTGTCTTGAAGCTTGTAAATTTATTTTGTTTTTACTTGAAGTTCAGGAATTTCACTAGTGTATGTCTAGGTATATGTCTTAAAAATATATATTCTAATCCTGCCTGGACTTGGCAAGACTCTTTCAATGACAAGTGTATCTTTTGGGAAGTTTTCTGTTATTTCTTTAATTATTACTTTTTTTTCTTCTTCTGAAACTTTTATTATTTGTCCATTTTCTGTTCTAATTCTGTAATCTTTATCGCTTCTCTGCTTTTTGGCTAAGATCAAGTGTAATTCTGTGATCTTTTAACTCATTATTTCCTTTTCTTTGGATTTTTGCTTTTGGTTGTGAAATAGTTCATCCACTTTACACCATACTTTATTTAACCCTTCTCCATTTAACAACAACCTCTTAACTTGTTTTTTTTTTGCCCCCTATACTGTGATATGCATCTTTGTAGCTAAATCATTGTCCAATTTTCTAATTTCCTTAGTAAAATTCCATAAAGGGAATTACCAGATCAAAGAGAATGACCTTTTTTCTTCCCCAAGACCTTTGATGCATTTTGATACATTGCTCTTCCAGAAAAGTTATACTGATGTATGCATGCAAGGAAGGATATATGTTTCTCATAAAAGAATGATGTATTTCTGTCTCGTAGGCTTTGAAATTTCTGAAAACCAGAAGAAGCAAGCAGCAATGACTGTGAGAAAAGTCCCTAAACAAAAAGGTAAAGCTGCCTTCACCTCCCAGCCCCACTCACTCTCTGTGTGAGACTGGGAAGCCACAGTCTATGTGCTCGGTCTATGTGCTTGCATATTCCTAGGCCTGTTTCTGTGCTGCAATTCACTTGGGTTGGCAGGGGAATGTCCAGGTCCCCAAGTGTCCCTGATGACAGGTGGCAAATGGTCTTAAAGGCTTAAGGCTTGGAAGTGAATGTTGTAGGGAATGGGTGTCCAAAGATAGTCCATTGGGTACAGAAAAAAAAAATAGAGCCTCTCTTTCTCCTTATTTTTCTAAAAACAAGAGAGAAACTAAGACTTACTAATAACTTAGAGGCAGTCAGTAGTAAATGTATATAATTTATTAATAAGAATAAATATATTTGAGATGTGTGCTCAACTTACTTTCAAATCAGGAGTCCCAAATCAGAATGGAGAATGTCAAACTGAACCAAGATGAAAGATTCAGATACTCGTTTTCTTTCTTTCTTTGAAACATTAACTAAAGTACTTAAAAAATACCTTTAGAATTAATTTGAATCTGAAATTAAGCTTCATTTTCTCTTTTTCATGAACCAGAACAAAACTACAATGCCTAGCTGAACAAAGGGAAGGCACTGCACTCTGTTTATTAGAGAGCCTGTTTGGTACCAGTCACTTTATATAATTGTTTTAATTTCATCAGTATATTACCCTGAGAATGTGGGCATTTTAGCTTATTTCCCCCATGAGGAAACTGAGGATCATTGGGGTGAAGTGACTCTGAACCTAAGTCTGCTTGACTCTGACTGAGTCCCCTGATCTTTCCTCTCCATCTCAGGGTTCTGCTGAGGCCCTGTGCTGGAAAAGAAGAGCTCAATTTTCTGTCTTGCCTCAACTGCTGACAGTGGCTTCTATTTCTGATATCCACTGTTACTGTCCCCAGGGCAATCTTAATGAGACCTCACTTTCCCCAGGTCCTTCCTTCTGCTTTCTCAGTGGGTTCTCTGGTTCAAAATGAGTCACCATACAAATGATCAGATTAGAGTTGCCTGAAATTCCAGCAGTTGCACAAAGCACCCTTAATTATTACTAAGGAAAATTTCTTTGAGGACACTGAATTCCTGTGAATATCTAATTTCCAATTAAGCAGTGCACCTGGCCGGGCCCTTCTGGCTAGATGTGGCCTTCCTTTCAGCTATTTATTGCTTCTTGCTCTTGGAAGGCCCTTGTTGGTTCTTCCCCTCATCATGGAAATGTGATCCTCCTTACAGCCAACCTTTGAGGATGAAAACATGAAAGATGGTGTTAGAAAACAATCTGGAGTTAATGTCAGTAAGGATGTGATCTGTATTAGCAGGAGAACCTTGTGAGAGGCTCTGACCTTCCTCAGACAGAGATGTGAGCAGAAAAGAGTTCCAGCAAGCTGGAGAGTTCCCAGACTGCAAAGGAGCTGCTCTCCCAGGGACCCACCTCTGTCTCCTGGAGACTCTCACCTCTTCAGCTTCTGTCACTCCAATTTCCTCCACTGCTCCCACCATCCTGGTCTCCATGGTGCCTCTTTACCCCAGCCTGGGTTTCCTCAAGCAAATATGAGAATGGTTGGTCTTTTCACTGAGAACACTTAAAGCAAAGAAACTTCCACAAAGCAGCCAATCAGAAAACAGTCCTGCTAACTCATACCAAGCCTTTGGGTCAGCTTGCTTCCCCAGCCTGTCTTAGTCTCCAGGATATTCCTTTCAGGTCCTCTCTTGTCTCCTAAAACTTAAACACTGGTTCACCTGAACATTTTTCCCCCTTAAGAGCAATCCCAAAGTCTTTAAAGAATTATTCTAGTTTCAAACTTCCCAGAAGTCTTAGGAATCTTCTCCCTTATTTCTGTTTCTTGTCTTCAAGACTCTTAGTCTAGCGCTATGGTGATTGATTGATATATTTTGAGACTCAAGGGTGCTACACATGTGGAAATGGTCCCTCAAACTTAGGAATTCAATATGTACAGCATGTACATGGGAAGAGCTGAAAGGGTGTTCTCTCACATACCCATGAAACCCAGTTTCCTTAACCTTCCCTAGGACTCTTCTCTGGAAGTGATGGGGAACATTGTTGTTAAGATTTCTCCAATGCAGATGTCACTGGATGAGTAATTACTCTAACATCTCCTTCCAACCCCATCTGTAAAGTCATGAAATCTTATCAACCCAGTCTGCTGCTCTAAGGGAGGGGAAGCCTGACTGGAAGAATAGCACCCCACCTTTGCCTTTCACATTGCCTTGGCCTTAAGCATTGATATAGAACTTCTCAGGAGTTGTATACTAATTCCTGGGCCATCACCCCATTTCAGTCAGTCTGTCATGGAGCTTCCCACAGCCAGGAGCATAGCCTGATCTAGAGAAGCTTTAGGAACAACTCAAAATCAAATGAGTGCCTTATAATAGCTTAAAAAATATTTAAAAAGAAGAATGAAGTGGGGAAAATCAGTTTACTTGATCTCAGCCCTTATTATATAGCTACAGTAACCAAGACAGTGTGGTGTTGGCAGAAGGATAGACACATTAGATCAGTGGAATAGAATAAAGAACCCAGAAATAGCCCCACAGAAATATCCCCAACTGATTTTTGACAATGTCGTAAAAGCAATTCAATGGAGGAAGGTTAGCGGTTTCAAAAAAAGGGTGCTGAAGCAACTGAATATCCATAGACCAAAAAAAAAAAAAAAAAAAAAGAAGAAGAAGAAGAAGAAAAAGAACTTCAACCTAAACTCACATCCTATATAAAAATTTGCTGAAAATGAATCATGGACTTAAATGTAAAGTGTGAAACTATATAGATTTTTTTAAAAAATAGGAGAAAATCTTTAGGATCTAGGCTAGGCAAAGAAGTTCTTAGACTTGAAACCAAAAGCCTGATCCAAAAATGAAAAATTGATAAGCTGGACCTTATCAAATTTGAAAATTTTTCTCTGTGAAAGACCCTGTGAAGAGAATGAAAAAACAAGCTACAGACAGGGAGAAAATGTTTGCAAACCACATAATCTGACAAAGGACTACTACCTAGAATATATGGAGGACTCTCAAAATTCAATAATAATAATAATAAAAAAAACACTCCAATTAGAAAATGGGTAAAGGACAGGAACAGATATTTCACCAAAGAGTATATAGGAATTGCAGTTAAGCAAGTGAAAAGATGTTCAGTATCATTAGTCATTGGAGAAATGCAAATTAAAACCACAGTGAAATATCACTGCACACCTATTAAAATTGGTAAAATAAAAGAAAGTGACAATTCCAAATGCTGTCTAGGATGCAGAGGAACTGTGGGTCACTCATACATTGCTGATGGGAATTAAAGTGGTACAGCTACTCTGACAAACAGTGTGACAGTTTCTTTAAAAACTAAATGTAGAACTACCATACGACCTAGCAATTACACTCCTGGGAATTTATCCCAGAGGAATTAAAAGTTATGTTCACACAAAAACCTGTAAACAAATGTTCATAGCTTTGTTCCTAAGAGTCAAAACCGAAACAACTCAAATATCTTTCAATGGGTAAATGGTTAAACAAACTGTGGTACATCCATATCATAGAATGTTAATCATCAATAAAAAGAAATGAACTATTGATACATGTAGCAACTTGGACAAATCTCCAGGGAATTATGCTGCATGAGAAAAGCCCATCCCCAAAGGTTACATACTGTTTGATTCCAGTTTTGTAAAATTCTTGAAATGACAATTTTAGAAATGGAGAACAGATTAATGGTTGCCAGGAGTTAAGGAGGGGGTGGAGATGGGAGAGAAATGAGTGTGGTTATAAAAGAGGATCCTTGTGACAATAGAAATGTTCTGTATCTTGACTGTATCAATGTCAATATCCTGATAGTGATATTGCTCTATAGCTTTACAAGATGTTACCATTGGGGAAGCTGAATAAAGGGTACACAGGATCTCTCTATATTATTTTTTACAACTGCATGTGAATCCACAATTATCTCAAAATAGAAAGTTTAAATAAACAAATCAAATGAGCACTCCAAAAAGTCCCACCCTAATATCTTCATATCTTCTGTTGACACCTAAACCAAAAAAAAAAAACAAAACAAAAAACACTAACCTGTTGCCGTCGAGTGGATTCCGACTCATAGTACCCGCATATTTCTGACACTTCCCACCTTTCAAAGCTGGCTTTTAAAAAAGAACTTGATTTTTCCCACTGAAGTACCAGTGGTTGATGGTGGCTTACCATGATACTACTTCCAGGTTAATGGGATCAACTTGTCAAACAAAGAAGTTGTAATGGTGGTGTTTCAGACACTGGCCAGCAGATTTGGAAGGTATTTTGGAGCAGCAGAGAGTCCTTCCTGGCATGTCTGAAATAATATGCTATACACCTCAGCCTATTCTGCTTTAAATATAGATTAAACTGTGACTTAGGCCCGCTGGTTCCCAGGATCCTCCATGAATGTGAATTTTGCTTTGATGGTTGCAAATCCATCTACGAAAGTTAAGAAGCTCTTTAATCTTAATGTCATTGAAGCTGTTCCCTTTGAAAGGTGCCAAATAGGTTCCAAGTTTTCCTTGCTTTCCATGAATCATAGCTTCTAGTGGTGAATTTGCTTTCTTCACTACCACTGTCATTTCCCTGTGAAATGTGGGGTTCATCTCTCTCAACCAGGGGCAAAACAGTGAATCACTTGTACCTTTAGCTTGTTTAGAAAACCATTTTCCCCTAGGAGTCTGCCCTGGAGTAAGTGGTTCTTAACCAAGCTCCTTTGACACCCTGGGGGAGTTGGGAAGGTAGCAAGCCCTGCATAAGAGACTAGTCTCTTGGAAAGAGCTCTGGACTGGGAAGTCAGAGAATGTGGGTTCTAGCCCTTGCTTTGTCACTAACAACACATGACCTTGTTTAAGACATTTCTCTCCAGGTCTCAGTGTCCTTATCTGTAATATGGCTGATGGCAACACTCCAAGCTTCTTAGTGACACTGGACTAGATAAGAGAGTTACAGTGTTGCAGTAATGGCCACACCATTCCAAAGTCTGTTAAAGAGAGGAATTTTCCCTTGGATGATTTGCAATTCCAGTTCACACTCTCTAAATAGGTTGCCTTGAATTGTCTACCCAGAGTGGTTACTGGGTTATTTGAGAAGCCCCTTGCTACCTAACTTTTGCCCTTTCCCTTTGATCTCTAATCTACTCTAGGTGTCAACTCTGCCCGCTCAGTTCCTCCTTCCTACCCACCACCGCAGGACCCGTTAAACCAGGGCCAGTACCTGGTCCCCGATGGCATCGTTCAGTCACAGGTCTTTGAATTCGCCGAACCCAAGCGCAGTCAGTCACCGTTCTGGCAAAACTTCAGCAGGTTAACCCCTTTCAAAAAATAATACCTAGAGGGGAGGCAGATAATTTTAAAATAAAGAAATAAAGTAAATAAAATTATATTTATAGATGGACTTTTTTCGGAGAAGCACTATTGAAATTTATATATATGTGTGTGCACATGTATATGTGCATATGTATACACACACACAAACACACAGACCCTTGAGTGTATGTATGTGTATATATTTATACACACACATACACACACACACACACACAGAAGGACCAAAAACGTTTTCTGTTGTTTTTGGGAAGTGAAGTCTGTAGTTGGTAGAAAGAGGTATCAGTGACTTCCAAACATGTCATCCCTTCTTAAAAGTTTTCAGTTCTTACCCTGTCCCCCTCCCCTTTTCTTTCAAACACTGACATTCCTAATTGTTCCTTTTCTTGTTGCTATAATCTATTTGCTCTCCTGTGAGTGATTCATTGACTTGTCATTATTACCATAGATGTGTTTGTATTGGTTTTTCTTTCCTGATGATACTGATGCTGATGACTTTAATTTAATGTGGTAGAGTTTGGGGGGTTGGGATTCCTTTTTACCCTCTTTCACTTTTCACTGGGGGAGGGGGATCCCTTTTTTCCTCTCCCTCAGCCGACCATCTGCAAATGTTCCTGCAGCCCTGCAGTTGCTCCCAACAGCCTTTTCCTAACATCCTCTGTCCTAAGACATGCTATGTCGTACCCTGTGACATAACTACTTGGTATTTCTACTGCTTTCACTGTGTTTTAGGTGTTGTGGAGGGATCAAAACAAAACTTCTGTTTTTGCAAGGGAGTGTCAGAGTACAATGATGCTAGAGAGGACTTCTGTTCAGGAAACATTCTGCATTTGTGCTGTTTCTTCGCCTAGCATTGGGGTTCCATGTTGCAGCATTGGCAGGTGATTGCAGTTTAGTTTGGACCAATTTTTCTTTTTAAGCTGCTTTGGGGCTCCCCTGTCCTGGCCTTCCCCTGGCCAAGAAGCAGATCTGAACTGGAAACCTCCTGGGGGAGGGATTTACCTGGCCCCCAGCACCAAGTGGGTTTAAGGCTGGGCTCCCCACAGCAAGCAGTTCCAGGACCTGGTCATCCTTGTGCCCATTTGTAGATTTTTTAGGCAGCATTGACAGGAGTATATGGAGGGATACAAGAAAGAGCCCACCTGACCAAGATCATCAGCTGCCTTCCAGTTTTTGACCTGGACAGGGTCCAAGGCTGACAGTTGCCTCTTACAGGAAAGAATAGGAACGGGTATGGAAAGAGACAGCCTTGGCACAAGATATGTACCTGCAGTACCTACCACCCCAGTTGTGTGAGACTTCCCCCCATTGTTAGCAGATTGCATGGACAATCTTCCCCGCCTCCTTCCTTGCACTCTCCCTGCCCTTCTTATTCCTGTTCTCCTGGCACAGGAGGATTGTTGGCATTGGCATAGTTAAAGTAGTTCCAGCACTCAAAGAAGGCCCTGTTTCCAACATCCTCCTGTCCCAGGACATTTGAGGAAAGTCAGTGATGGGCCCCAGGGACACTTTTTCCTGCAACGAAAGGGCCTGAGGCAGAGATGCTGCCCTCAGGCTCATTTTTGGAAGGCTTTCCACTTGGGCAAAACTGACTTCTCCCACAAAGAGGTAGGCTCCCTATGGGTGCAGGAGTATATGTTCCTCCTCCCCACATGGCCCCTTGGGTGGATAGACCTTGAACAGAAAGGAGAATGTAGTACAAAGGAGTGAAGATGGGTTTTAGAGTTGTTGGATCTGTCCTGGATCCCATGGAAAAATATTTCATCATGAAAGGTCCCCAGTTTACCAAGCTGCAGAAATGGATTCATGGGGCCTTTAAGCATAGCTGATTTGGTTACTTCTCTATGCTCCTGAACCAGACCAGGCCCTGCCCAGCCTGGGAATCTTTCCTTTGTGGGAATCAAATTACAAGTTTAAGCTTCCATTCCACCACACCCAAGTCAGACTGTGGAGTAAGCCAAGGATGAGCCTGAGCTGGGCAAAGGGCCAGGGCTCGGGACTGGTCACCACTGCTCAGCACATGGCCCAGATACTTAAGCTCCCTTGGCAAGGGGCCTGGTGCCCAGCACCCAAACTAAAATGTCCCACCTGGCAAGCAGAATCTCTCAGTAGCTATGTAGGTCTCCCTTGAGTGTATATTCTTCTCTTCCTTTCCACTCTTCCCTCCTTGACCTGGCCTTGACAAGTTTCTCCAGGAGCTAAGGCACACCAGGAGGGGATGCTTAGACAAGTCCCTGAGCCTACCAGGCCAAATATCTCTTGGTCAAACTCCTCCTCCCCTTGGGGCCTGCCCAGAGCTCCAGAATCAGGGATATCACCTCCTGCTGCCCACCTCTCCTCCACTCAACCAACTGGCCTCACCAGATGCCAATAACTTGTGAAAACAACAAATCATTTTGCCATTGGTTGAAGTGGTCCCTCAGCTTATAGCAGCAAAATGGACCAGTGGCCAGCAGCCTGAAGGAGAACCCTATTAACTGGGCTCAGGGTCCCAACCTATTCTGTGTCCTCACAGCAGTGCCATCCCTAAGAACTCTAACTCTCCTGTTTTTGTATGGCCCAGAGTTCCGCTTTCATCAACTCAATGAGGCCTGAATTTGCTCTCCAAAAGGTTTGCTAATATGTTCTGTGGACCCTGCTGTGAGGTGATCCTGACACAGAAACCCAACCTCTTTTTTTCCCTCATCCTCTCCTCATTTCTCTGTGTTTATATCTCTAATTGATATATAAGGAGGCAACAAGGGGATTCTAACAATTCTAGTGTGAAGCCAAATAGTGATCTTTTAGTGCTTTGGGCGGGGGGTGGGGTGGGTTGGGCTGGGGTAGATGAATGGGTAACAGTGATTTTGATTACCCCTGCTGCTCTGCATTTGCCAGTTTATTCTTTTGTTTCTTCTATATGACTGTTTGACCCTGTCAAATAAGTGTCAAAGTTGTGTGTTTAAAAAAAAAATGTTTAACAACAACAAAAAGAGAGATATTGTAATGATACAAAGCCTTATGAAAATATTTATGGAGTTCAATAAAAGAAGTAAAAAGATACCTCCAGGCATATCTCTGGTGCTATTTGTGTGTCTCTCTGTGTGTGTGTTTGTTACCAATTGCAAAATAAAGGGAATTTGCCTGATGGGGGGAGAGAGTGCCTAAGAGCTAGGAGGGCAGCGTACCTCAACTCAGTCTTGGCCTGCCAGCCTTGCTGTCCCATTGTCAAGTATCCTATGGGTTGAACAGGCCACAAGAAACAAGTTTTATCCATAACCAGGGGCAACTCAAGTGTTTTTATGGATGGCACTGTCCTTCATGTCACCTGGTCCTTTGACAAGACTTGAAGGCCCATTCCTGACCTTGCTCCTTTTCCTTGCAGCTGCAGACCCAATACCTACCCCTGGGCACACATGGGAGCTTTAAAATCTACCTTTCGGGCCCAGCCAAAAGCCATATCACTTAGGAATCCCCCACACCCCCAGTTCCTTCTTAGTGCCTCTGGTCCTGTCTCTTCAGAGTACATACTTCCTTATCCATACCCCAGAGTACATAGAGTGGCCTTACTGTTTCTTCCATCGTATTTTCATCTGCATGTAGATGCTCCTTGCTGCCTGCCCACCAGGCCACCATGAAGTGGTTTCTGCTGCCCATCAGAGACCCAGTAATGGTTCTATCTGGTACTGACTCACCTGCCTTTCTCCAGAGCAACTATACATTCACCCCAGTAAAGTGCTTATTTACTAAAAGGATTCAGATCATTATTCCAAGCTGCAGAGTTGGGAGGTGTTGTCGCTCTGGGTTAGGGTGTGAGCCCTCTCTGTCTAGGTTTTGGGCGTTTGAAAAAGTGATATTAAACCCTCCTCTTCTTCCCTAACCCCGTTTCTCTATTTCTTGACTCTCGCCTCATTTATCCCCTTCCTCTGCTGTCCGTTTTCCATGCGTCTGCCATCTCTCCCCACAAAAACTAGCAGGGCTCAGCTCTCAGCAGTCCCTTCTGTATCTTGCCAATTCCCAGCCCCTCCTCCTCCCAGCTTCCAGAAAAAAACAAGAAAACCAAACCCGTTGCAATCGAGTCGATTCTGACTCATAGTGACCCTATAGGACAGAGTAGAACTGCCCCATAGGGTTTCCAAGGAGTGCCTGGTGGATTTGAACTGCCGGCCTTTTGGTTAGCAGCCGTAGCTCTTAACCACTGCGCTACCAGGGTTTCCATAGAAATAAAGAATATGGATTTATGATGTGGATCAGGTGGGGCTTACAGAAATAAATTAATTCTTCTGGTGATGAGATGTGTTTGATTTTAGGCACCTTAGGAATACTGTGGCTCTACTACTTACAAACTAATTTACTAAGAGTACTAGTATGCTTATTTACTAAGAGCATTCCTGTCCTCATATTTATTGCAAAGTACCCTATATTCACTGATGAGAGTGCCACATGTAATTTGGCTTCTCTAATTACAGACTTTCTCCCCTCTGACTGAGGACAGGAGGGGCTGTGGATTTAAAGTATTATTTTCTGGAGACTTTGAAGGTTGAGGCCAGTCAGGGCAAGGCCACAGGGCCCAGCCCAAGGCCATTATGTTGAGGACGATGGTTTCTCACTCTGTCTTCCTCAGGGTCTTGTGGAAGGTTCAGGGTGGAGAGAGGTGTCCTTGTAGTGTGCCCCAGATGGCCAGAACTGAAATGGAGAAAGGAGACTAACTGTAGCTTCAGGGCAAGGAAGCCTTCTTCCTAGAAAAATTCAATGCTGGGACATCCCTATCCTGGGAAGATTCCTGCCAAGTCTTATGGAGGAGGCTGACAACTGGTCTAAATACAACAATCCCTTGTATTTGCAATGACCTTACCATATATGGGATCTCATTTAATCTTTATGGCAACCATTTGACAATGGGGTTATTAACCACATTTCACAAAGGAGAAGTCAGGGGCTCATCTAAAGTGATTTGTCAAAGTTACCCAGCTTGTGTGTATTCTTCACCAATCCCGCACCCCATTCAAACTGACCTCAGAGCTGCTGACTCTCAGAGTGTTGCTGGGAGAAGGGAAGTA